AGCCTTCAGTTTATTAAACTTTACTGATCTGCTACTGTAACCATGTTCATCCACCTTTTATGGTCTTTTGCACTTTCTTAAACTCCTTTTGGTCCTAGTCCCTGATTGTTTTCTCAAGTCTCATCAACAAAAAAAACTCAAAACCTCAAAGCATGACGTTCATACATGAGGACTTCTTCATGTAATCGACGGTTTCCGCGGTAACACATTCATGTTCAATGGGTGACAAACCTGTTGCTGAACGGTCGCTCCCTGATCTGGATGGTGCTCAGCTCCTGGATGCTGCCCTGCAGACCCAGAGACATGTTGGAGTTCGGGACGTTGAAGGTCTTCCTCCTCCTGCGGCCGCAGCAGGAGAAGCCATGAAGCGAGGAAGAGGAGGAGGTGGAGGAGGACCGAGACAGCTGCTTTACTGGGCTTAACTCCCTGCAGCTGGACTCGTATGACTTCTCATCAACAAACTCGTGGTTCTGAGGAGCAAAGAGGTGGAGAAGGTGAGAAAACTGTGGAGTGGCTGTGGATGTCTCTGGGCTTCCTGGACCTCACCGTCGTTTTCTCCAGACAGTTGAGCAGGTGGTGATGCTGCAGGTCAAAGCCCGGGTTGATCTTACACACCAGCGCCTGTCCAGCCTCCTTGGACGCCTTCAGGACATAAAAAACAAATCACATGACCCGTTATCTAAACCACAGTCCAGTGGTGAACACATCTGGTTTGGACCAACAGTCTGCAGACACCATGCTGTCAACATTCAGAAGATCCCAGTTTTTAAAGTACAGAAGAGCCTCGTCGGGCTGACGGAGCCCTCAGGCCACCTGAGGAGGCTTCAGGCTGAATGTGACCCAGAGGGACAGACTCAAAGGATCTACCAAGGTCTTCTTTATAAATCTGAGCTGCATTTTCGTTCCCAATCAGTCCTCTGAGACAGAACCAGTCACTGCAACCTGAATGCATAAGGTTCCAAACAGCAAGAACACACTGAAAACTCTCCATGAGGATCAACAAAGCTCCTCCTGATCCATAAAATGTTAAACCTGGTAGGATGGACGTTCTATTAGAAATATTTTATACATTATTCAGAATAAAAACATTGGGTTTGATTGTTGTATTGTGTGGGTTCCAGCACATATTGGAGTAAAAGGAAACGAGAGGGCAGATAAAATGGCAAAGAGGGCAATTCATAATCATATTAGTTTTACAGTTAAAACAAGGAAATCAGAGGGAAAGAGTATTATTAAATAAAAACCGATGGAAAAATAGCATAAAAAGGTGGGATGAAGAAAACATTTTATAAAATTCAGAAGATAGTAGGGAAAATAAGAAATGGACGAAATAGAAAGGAGGAGAGAGTGATAATAAGGTTAAGATTTGGGCAAACAGGACTTAATTATAAAGTTATTAAAATTGAAAAGCAAACTACTGGCAAATGGGATTACTATGGATAATATGAAACAATAGAACATGTTATACTGGAAGGACATAAATGTGAAAGCGAGAGAAAATATATGAGGAAGGCGTTTGAATGCATTAAGGAAAAGATTAAACTATTAGATATTTTGATGAAGAATTTGAGGAGTAAACACATGCAAATAGTTAATAGATTTTTAAAGAAATCTAAATTATTTAATGGAATTTGATGATAGAGAGGGTGTATATTGTAAAATGTATATTTGCGTGTGTATATGGGTGTATATATATATATCCCCAAAAACAGAAAAATAGAAATACAGTCAAATGCATGTGTCTCAAATATGAAAAAAAATATTAATACACATTATGGATTAATTGATCTATCTTCAAGCATCACACGACATCCACAGTGACAGCTGCTGCTGCTAACCACATCAGCAGGGTTGCCAGATGTCACTGACTCACGTTTTACAGCCCAAAAAAATCTTCATAAACCGCCTGGATCCACGCAATCTCGCCCAATTTGAACCAAAGTCTATTGATCTCTTTGGCCATAAATCTAAAGAAAAATTTTTTTTCCCCAGAGACAGCCATCCTAAACTGCCAGATTGGAAACATCCCAACCTGGCAACAATGCACGTAAGACTGGAAACATTAGCCTTTAGATGCAAAACCCCATCATGCAACGCAACATATTTTTGCAAAATATTCTAACATAAATTTGCCAAATATAAGAGGAACATCGTAGTTTGGTTTGAAGAAAGCATTTTAGTTTTACTATAATTTTGTTAGTTGCAAGGATTTTACAGTTTGAAGAAATAGAAAATTACACCATATGCCAACCATCACAAGGAAGGCCTATATATACTGTATGCCTTATATAGGTAGTTAACATTGGATTACTTCTTGAGCTCCTTGAGTTATTTACTATCACAGGTAGGAGCTTCGGTTGGAGAGTAACTTTTGGTATGATTTAAGGAGGGCCGGCCATCGCATGCTGAAATTAGGACCGGCTTGTATCACAGATTAGCAGTCCGAGCCTGGTCAGGAGCCAACCTGAGTACGGCAGAAGCAAGGGCGTAGGGTTGATTTAAACTTTGGTAGGGACACTATTGATCTGATATCAATGGTTTTATGCAAAAATATGCATGCTTGTTTTTTTATGCTTGACGTGAAAATCAGGGTGTATTTCATTTAAAGAGAAAAGCAGCATTTCTTGCTACGTTTATACAAATTTTATAGGCACTACACACTAGAGATGTCCCGATCCAGGTTTTTGCACTTCCGATCCGATACC